GATCATACCCTCCTTTCAGTAATCTATTTTGAACACGCAGCTGACAAATATGTACAAACATTATACAGGTTATGTGAACAAACACAGATAACGCATTTAAAGGGGGTAAGAGTAAAGCTTTAACAATAGAAGTTTTAATATGTTCTCTGCCTTTCCTCCCCCTCCACCCCTGGAGCCCGCCGTGTAGAGCTGCGCTGAGCTTTGGTGCAGCCCTGGCTCCGGTCAGTTTGGCCACAGGACTGTGTCACCCTGGGCGGGTTTCCCCATATTGTTGAGCCTCTGCCTCTCAGTGTAAAGGGAGCACAGTGAGAACCAGCTCACAGTATCATACTGAAACATTCATGGAAATACAGTATGTGAATTCAGAGTGAGATGACACCCAGTGGGCGGCGGGCCTCATGATTTGAAGATGCTCACTAGAGTGCAGGGGTGCTGGCCTCCGGCTCCAGCCACAGCCCTTCCTGTGGAGGGGACGCTCTGGCTGGAGAGGAAAAGGGTGTCTGGCACTGTGGGGACGGTGAGAATCAGTCTGTCAGGGTAAAACAGGCCTCTCCAGCCTCCACTGCCCGAGATCTCTGCCCTCGGACTCTCTCGGGGACAGAGAACAAGGTCGGAGAGCTCTATGCCTTTTCCCATAACTTGGTTCTCAAATTCCTCCCACTAGGACTTGCCTGTTTCACCCTTTACCGTGGATGAGTCTCACCTAGGTGGGATCGGGAGGGTCAGCAAATCTTTCCCAGGACGCCCACCTGGACAGTACACGTGCCGCTCTCTGCAGCTCATCCACTGACATCCACTGCCCGGGTTGTGGCGTCCCATCGCCAGATGTGGCAGGGCTGACGGCCAGGAGGACCCTACCCCTTCCTTTTCCCTTTCTTCTTCCTCCCTCTCCCCGTCCCTCACTCTCTCCCTCCTTTCCTTTATCCCTCCCTTCCTTCCTTTTCTCTCTTTCCTTTCTTTTGACATCTTTCTGCTGCTTTTGTTTCTTTTTATTTTTGCTTATTTATTAGTCTAATTTATTAAATTTATTTGTAGATATAAATAGTCTAGAAAATTTATTACATTTTCTACAAGAATGTCTTTTTGGTTGGGTGTGGTGGCTCATGCCTGTAATCTCAGCACTTTGGGAGGCCAAGGCAGGAGGACTGCTTGAGTCCAGGAGTTCAAGGTTGCAGTGAGCTATGATGGCACCATTGCACTACAGCCTGGGCAATAGAGTGAGACCCTGTCTCCACACACACAAAAAGTCTCTTTCCCTCTGGCCTCGCTCCTTTGTCTTTATATATCTCAGGGACTGGGTGGGACTGATGTCTCCTCACCTCCCCTGCAAGCTCAGACTTGGGAGCGGGGTGGACTGCCCATTCAGAGGCTGGTGGGACAGGTGTCCTAGGCAGGAGGGTTCTGCTGCCCTCCTCTGCGTGGGGCTGGGGCAGGCCCTGAGTCCTCAGACAGGGAGAGAGGCACAAGTCTGCGAGCCACCTTGGGTTGGACATTTCAGTTGTAGAGATGACAGCCTTGTCTGGGAAGATCTCTGCCCACCAGAGGGACAGATGGGCCCAGAGGAAGGTGGCGGCTGCCATGCCACTGGGGCTCTGCTGGGCAGGCTGACAACCTAGAGCTCAGCCCACCAGCCAGGTTATGATGGTGGGATATTGGAGGGAAAAATGTTAAAGTTGAAACAAAACCCACTACCTTGTGTGTGTGTGTGTGTGTGTCTGTGTGTGTGTGTGTGTGTTTGCTTCTTTTTCTTGTTCATTTTTTTCCCAGAAAATAAGCAGGCAGAAAACAGTTCCTTAAAACTTGTCTTGCAGCAAACAATAACCCAGTGAACTCCTCATCTTGAAAGTGTCATGATCAATTAAGTTTACTCGATTGCACCTTTAAGAAAAAGAATTGAGTTCTATTAACAGTCATATTTAAAATCACTATATATATTGTTTTATGGCCTAGGTGTTTATCTGAAACTCTTTCAAAGGCACTTGAAACAACTAAAAGATAAGAGGTATTAGGTGTCTGTTAAAAAGGGAAGTAAAACATTAACCCCATTAGCATAAGATCATTTATTTTTTTAATTTAATATATTTAATTTATCTCTTTTTCTTTTATTTTTAACTTTTTAATTTTTTCTTCATTGTTTGTTTTAATCCATCACCATGGTCTGGCAGTCAGAATCATTTATGTTTTGTGCTAGAAAAATCCTTCCTGGCTTAGTAAACAGCGTCTGTGGTTGAAGCAGGTGGAACATGGTCCCAAGGAGGGGCGGCAGTGAAGTCTGCGGTTTGATGTCTGTCTGCCCGTGCTCTCCCAGTGTCCCCCACCTATTCTGACCTGCGCTTTGTCACCACCCCCCCAGTATGGAGCTCAAAGGGCTGGGATTCGGGTGAGATAAGCTTTCTGGCCATGTCGGGGTCAGGGCATCTCAGAGTCCAAGGTTCCTCCCTGCTCCTTGGTCACTTTGAGCTGCCAGCAGCTGGGGGCTGGGCCGGGTGCATGGGTGGTCCCCGGGCAGCGCTTGCCCCTTGCTCACCTAGGAAGCTACTGGGTTAATGTGACTAGTTGGCAGGGCTCCCATCTTGCTTTATTTCTGTTGGTAGTTGAGTGAATGAAGTGGCATGAATATAATTTGTGTAGCCCAGCTCCTGACACTTAGTAGGTGTTCAATACAATTGTGTTTTCTTCTTCCTGTCTTTTCATAAAGTTTCCCTTCTGTCTCCAGGCCTTGGGAAGGCTCCCGTGGGGCAGGGGTTGGTGCTGGCAGTGGGGGCAGTAGAGGCTGTTCCTCCTGTCAGTGGGGATATTCCCCAGGGTGGCTCAGGGGGACTGCATACCCTCTTTGCCACCTGCCTGTGCTGTTCCTTCCTAGCAACAGGGTGCAGTGTTCAGAGGGCAGGGCAGACATAGCCCAGGCTGCTTTTCGCAAGCTTTCACTTTCAGATGGTGGAAGCAGCCAGAGAGGGGTTGACTCTTCTGGCCGGGAGCACGTGGTGAGGGGTCCAGGGCTGGGATTTCTGCAGATGCTGCTGCAACCCATGCCAGGCTCTGCTTCTTCTCTTCTCTTCTGGGATCCCCCTGCCTCTCAGTGATGAGGAATCCTGGACCCCCAGTGCTGGACCCGGAAGCCAGGTGGGGGCCCTGAGAGCAGCTCTCAGCAGGTGCAGACTCCGAGGGTAGGCGTGGGGTCTGCTGAAGGCTTGAGGCTCTGAACTTTCTCAAGTGCTGAGTTTGGAGATGCTTTAGGAAGTCACAGCCTTTCAAATTGGGAACAAAGAGAAGCAGGTAAGTTGGCTTCAAAGACACCTGTGGGCCAAGGGGAGAAAGCCAGGGAGCAGCTGGCTGTAGGAGGAGGCTGAGAATGTGGTGGGGCTGGGGGCGGTGGGAGGTGGGCGGCTGATAATATTCTTGCTCTAGGAGGCCCCAGACAGCCTCAGTGAGGGTTGCACTTCACTTCATTTATCTTAGTGATGTTTCTGTAGGACTAGGTACTGGTATTACTAGGACTAGGCCCTGTTCTATTCATTACAACGCTGGGAGGGGGATGCTGTTACCGTCCCCGTTTTGCGCAGCTGAGGAAACCGAGGCAGAGAAGGTCAAGGCTCTCACCCAAGGTGGTCACAGGGAGCGTGGCGAGTGCCGGGGGGATCCTGGCCGTCAGCCCCTGGAGCCTGTGCTTTCCAGAACCACAGGCTGCCTCTTCCCCTCCTTCCAAACAGGAGGTGGTTTCGGCATCTTTACTCTGCCCAGGACTCATTTTGTGTTCTCCGCTGTTCTGTCTCCTGCCGGAGTCCTTCACCTCTGGGGCAGAGACCTTCCTCAGAGAGAGAGGGTGGGGCTGAAACTGTCCCTGGGGAGCCGCCGGGACACCTGCTGAACGCAGGTCCACATCCTGGCCTGTGAGAGGAGGGGCCTGGGCTGGGAGTCAAAGTTGGGTGAACCAAGCAAGCAAAGAAAGCTCAGCAGCTTGCCGGCCTCCTACTGAGGATGTTGTCTGGCTCTGACTTCTCAGGTGACACCTTGGTCACCCTTGGGGGCTGACAGCACAACCAGCAAGCGGGAGCTGGCATGTCCTCTGTGGCTGGGGGCCTGAGTCTGGGCCCTCTGTCCTGGGACAGGGGTCACCCGTGTTGCGTAAACGATGGGAGATGAAGGGACGGTTTCCTCCATGGGCCCTAGGTGCCGAGAAAGGGCTTTGCTGTGGTCATGGTTGGGGCAGGAAGGGAGACAAAACTAACAGTTCCCCAACACCACAGAGTCTTCCCAGAAGGGCTGGGAGGGGGCCAGCTTGGCTTTGATGCTATCCAGGGTGTGTGAGGCCCACCGCCTCCTTAGTGTGATGGCCAGTAGGAAACGCTTAGCCACTGTGAGGGGCTGACACAGGCCTGAGCCATCGTTTCCCCTCTGAGGCTCCAGGGCCTGGGCTGCCCTGCCTCCTGCCCTGTCTCTCTCCCCAGCTCGGAGGAAATGGAGAATTGCTCCAGCCACTCTTTGCTCTGCCGTCTCACCTCCCTGCTTCTGGTCCTGCAGCTGCCCACCTGGGTGTCCGCAGGTGAGTGTGCCCACCCCTCCGCCCGCGTCTCCCTCCCTCGGGTGCTCCCCGCCTGGACTGGAGGGACTTGTGGAGGCCCCGGCCTAGGCAGATTGCTGCTCCCCAACCACTGATTGGAATTTAAATTTTAAGAGTCATTAAACCTTAAAATTGCCACAAGGGATCTTGACAATCGTCCGATGATGACTTTTTTGATGTTTTAAAAAGCCAAATATGAAAAATTTAAAAATACCTTTTCCCATTAGTTTTGGTTTTCCTGCTTTCCTGGAATTCGAAGCATTCAATCATTCATTCATTTACGTCCCTAATAATTATGGGGGGTCAACTATGTGTTAGGTGCTGTTCTAACAACAAAGCAGACAGAGATTCCCTGTCTTCGCAGAGCCCGTGTTCTACCGTGTTCTAGCGGGAGGCAGGGACCAATGAATGGGGCAACCCAGTAGGGCGCGGGTCTGTCGGAGGAGACGAGTGTGAGCAGAGATGAAGGAGGGCGGGGTGTGGGCAGGCGGCAGTGCTCAGCGAGGAGGTCAGTGTGGGTGGTGAGATGGGGACAAGGACCTGGAGGAGGGGGAGTGAGCCGTGAGGATCTCTGGGAAAGACAGTTTCCTTGCGGGGAGCAGCGGTACAAAGCTGTCAGCGGCCTGGGGTGTTGAGGGACAGCGGAGTCAAGCGCTGGCTGGAGCCCAGCGAGCGGGGCAGAGAAGCAGTACTTGGGTCAGAGAGGTACTTGGGGGTCATCCCTGTCATGCCTGTGGGGCACTGTGGGGAACGGGGGAGCCATGGAAGGGCTTTGAGCAGAGTAGGGACATGGTTAAGGGGTTCACAGATAGGGGTTGGGGAGAGGACAGATATGGGGAGACCATTCCACCAGGGAGAGACCGTGGTGGCTCTGGCCAGGGTTGAGCGGCACAGGAAGCGAGAAGGTGCTCTGTGGAGGCCCGTTGTGACTTGTCCTGTGGAAGAGTCACATTGTGGCCCATCCACCGGGTCTCAGAGGGCCAGGGCGCTGCGTGGGGGGAGGGTGTGGTGAACTTGGTTCTTTATGACGCAGTGAAGACTTTAACATGCAGACTCCTGTGAGCGATGAGGGCGGGTTTCGAATGGAAGCAGCATTTGACTCTAGGCTTTTAGTGCACATATGATTCAGTGGAGGAGAAAAATACGGACAGAAATATTAAACTTAGGAATGGGAATGGGGAATGTCCTGGGCGCGGCAGAATGGTCAGTTCTGACCCAGGCCACGCGTGCGCTCTTTGGTCAGTTTTCAGGTTTGTCCTGAGACAGGTTAAAGCTGGGGTCCCCGGGCCAACAGTCTGTGTATCCCTGGGATCTCCCTAGAAGTTACTGAATCACAAGCTCTGGGGGTGGGGCTCAGCCACTTGTGTTTCCCAAGCCCTCCTGGTGGTTCCGGTACATGCTTGAGACTGAGAGTCACTGAGGTGGAGAGTCCTTTCTGGAAGGGTCTGGGGCTAGGAGCACAGGCTGGCAAGGGAGTCTCTTTGACGTCATCTCTGGGCGACATCAGGTGGCCAGAAGGTTTTAACCAGATTCTGTGATTATTGCTCAAATCATCAGGCCTCAAGGGTGGTTCTTCAGCACCTGATGGTGTGTCCTCTGCCCCTCGGCCTGTGCTCTCCAGCTTTCTCACTCCCATGTCTGTGTCCACAGACGAGTTCCTTGTGATTGGACCCTTGGACCCCATTGTGGCGGTGCTGGGCGGGAATGCCACGCTGCCCTGCTCCCTCTCCCCAGCCTTGAGTGCGGAGAACATGGAGCTGAGGTGGTTCCGCAGCAAGTTCTCAGACGCGGTGTTTGTCTATCGGAACGGACGGGAGCAGAAGGAGGAGCAAATGGCCCAGTACGCAGGGCGGACCTCGCTAGTGAGGGACTTCCTCACCGACGGGGAGGCTGCTGTGCGTATCCACAAGGTCCGCGCTGCTGACCATGGGCTGTACACCTGCTTCTTCAAAAAGGGAGCCTTCTACGAAGAGGCCACCTTGGAACTGAAGGTGGCAGGTTGGTGTCTTGATCTGTATTCTGGAGTCCTGGAGTATTGGAGTTGGGAAGAACCTCAGGAACCTCATTTTGAATAGCCCCTCATTTTATATATAAGGAGAAGGACACTCATTTATTTAGTCAATACAAATAAATTCAATACAAGTAAATAAATGCAATACAAATAAATATATACAAATATATAGACCCCCTGAAATGTGCCAGGCCTTGAGGGTAGATCTGGGGACACAGAGAGTTTGGAGGGGCAAGAGGAGACTTCAGAGAGTCCCAGGGGTTTGTTTTGGCCACTTGTTTAGTGGTAGAAAGATTGCTAATTATGCATCAGTTACCTGTTGCTGTGAAATGAACCGTCACAAAATCTCCATGGCATATAGCAATAAACATTTAATTTGGGCATGAAAGGAGTTCACCTAATCTGGACTGGACTTGGCTAATGTCAGCTGGGCTTACTTGTACAGCTTTGTTCAGCTGAAGAGGTCACCATGTGGACCGTGGCTGGGTTTGTTTACATTTCTGGTGGCCAATTGGATGTTGGCTAATGTAAGACAGATTCAGCTGGAAAGGCTGGGGTGGCCAGGCCATGTTCCATGAGTCTCATCCTCCAGTGGCTAGCCCAAACTTGTCCCTCCCGTGGAATTAGCAGAGGGCAAAACCAGTGGTGCCAGTGCCTTTCAAACCTCTGCTTGAGTTACTTTCGCTAACCTCTCATTGGCCAAATCAAGTCACGTGACTGAGCCCGGACCCAGAGTGTGAAGTCACTAAAAAGTACGTGGCAGAGGGTGAGCTGGACATAAAGAAAGGTGACGAAGGGAGGATATTTTTGTAATCAGCACACCAGATATGGGGCAGAATTGTGAATTCAGGTCTGGCATTCTGAGTTTGAAGTGCATGGGAGGAATCGTGGTCGAGATAACGCCACAGAGATGTGGTTGTTGTAAGCGAAGGAAGTTCTGGAGGGGGGTTGTCAAGCTATGCAATTTTGGAGGTGATTTACAAAGAGAGGCAGAGGCCGTGCAAAACGAGAGTGTGTGAGGTGAGGAGAGTGGGGTGACGGTGGGACCCTGGGACCAAATTCCTCCTCTTCCTCTGAGCCTCAGACTTTCTACCTGGGTGGTTGCAGATAACAGCCGACTATCCCTGTGCTCCTTCCTTCTGTTCCCTGTGGCAGGGCCACTATGTCACCGTTCTAGGGGGCATCCTTCCCATAGGACCCCCAGAATGCAACATGACTGGCTCCCCTTGGAGTTGGGCGACACGTAGGCACTGCTGGGTCCCGTGGCCCAAGGAGGCCTCCCTGGCTACATAGCTTCCCTCTTGCAGGGGTGGGCTCTTCCCCTCAAGTACGCATCGACGGGCCAGAGGATGACGGGGTCCGCGTGGTGTGCATGGCCTCGGGGTGGTTCCCAAAGCCCCAAGTGCAGTGGAGGGACCTCAGTGGAGAGAAGTTCCTGGGGTTCTCCGAGGCCCATGCCCAAGACGCTGAAGAGCTGTTCAGTGTGGAGGCCGCTCTGGTGGTGAGAGACAGCTCTGTGGGGACTGTGACCTGCTCCATCCTCAACCCCATCCTGGGCCAGGAGAAGGCGATGGCCATTTTCATCTCAGGTCAGTGCTACTCTTTGCTCCCAGCAGGGCTGGAGGGAGGCAGCGGGTGTCCCTGAGTGTGCTGAGCTGGCTGTCCCGGGCTGTGCCCCTGACTGGGTCTCTGCTGGGCCACAGAGCCCTTCTTCCCTCAGGCCTCTCCCTGGAAGCCAGCATTTGCTGTGACCATGGTCATGTTGGGTCTCCTGCTCTTTGGGGCTGGATATTTTATTAAAAGGGAACAAACCACAAAGTTGCAGGAGCAGCAGAAACGGGAGAATCTGCGCCGGGCTAAGGAGGAGGACCAGAAGGCAAAGGAGGAGGCGCTGAGGGCTGGCGGTAAGGCAGGATGCAGCCAAGGCTGGCAAATGCAGCAGCTGGTGCCCAGAGTCCGTGGGGCAGCTCCCCAGGGAGACCCAGGCCCCGGGCCCAGAGCAGGTGTCTGAGGAGATCCAGAGAGGACAGCTGGAGCTGTGGAGGCTCGGGTGGCTCTGGGGGTACACCTTTCTCTAGGATATAGCCAAGGGTTTTCATGGGTTCTGCAGGGGTGGGAGTTCATGGTTTTTTTCACTCTCTTTCAGATGAACTCCAGGCAGATCTCGGTAAGTTCTACTTTCCCTTTTGAACTCTCTGTGTCCCCTTTGGAAGACACATTCTGGTTCTTAGCTTACCTGTTTCCTTGTGTTGCCTTTCAGACTGGAGGAAGGAAGCTTACATGGTTGGTGAGTGACTCTCCACATGTCCCTTGGCCCCTTTTCCCACCTACACCCAGGTATCCCCTCTCCTTATTTTTATTAGGCACAGACATGTGGACCCCCTCCCTGGGGACAGAAGTGGAGGCTGGTTAGAGGTGGAACCCTGCTCCACGGGCTCTCCCATGTCTTGGCAGCTGTTTCTTGCCCAGTGCTTGGGAACCTGGGTGCGATGGTGACACCCGGAGTCTGTTATGCATCCTGGGTCTATTCCAACCCTGGCCTGTCCACCATATTGTTAGTTTTTTAGTCTTCAATGTATCTAGCTCTCAGTCCGAACCTGAAAGCCAAAAGCCAGAAGCTCTGATATTTCATGAAATGAGCTATGTAAATAAATTGGGTCATTAAATTCAGGAGTGTGACCTCCTGCTTCCCCCCCCAACCCAGAACACCACCCAGTGGGCACTGTGGCTCATGCCTGTAATTCTAGCACTTTGGGAGGATGGCTTGAGGCCAGCAGTTTGAGACCAACTTGAGCAACACAGCAAGCCCCTTTCTCTACAAAACACAACACAACGCAACACAACACCGTCTAGGGAGTCTGTTCTGTCCAGCTCCTGAAGGTGCTGATCCGAAACCCATGAGGAGAGGACTGGGCTGACGACCACATGGGGGAGCGTGAGGGGGTGAGCCGACCGCTCCCCAGAAGCTTCTCTTTAGAAACAGTCTGTCTGTGAAAGGCTGGCCACTTTCACCCAGATGTCACCTCACATCCTGTCCTCAAATCATTCTTCCTTTCTGGTAATTTCCCAAATCTGCTAGAAAAAGACTGGATATAATAATGCTTTCTTACAATTATGGAGTAATTGAAATTGTATTCTCTAAATATTTTCACGCATAGTATATAATTTTTATTCTTAGCAGCACAACTAAAGATAGAATGTGAATTTTTGAGGTCGTTGAGGCACAGACAGCTATTTGACAGCCCAAATTCACACAATAGCTGGACAATGGTGGACCCAGCCTGTGATACAGGTTCCTGGTCCGTGTCCAGGGAAGTTCCCACTGCACTTGCTGTCCAGCCTCTCCTCTTACGGAGTCTCGCCTTTGGAACAAAGAGAGGCAAGAGCCAGTAGGATCACCCTGAGCAGGCTTGTTCTGGCTGAGGTCTCACTAGGGTGTGTTCCTTTTCAGCCTGGAGGAAGGCCCAGCTGTATGCAGGTAAGTGACTCTGCCATTTCCTCTGGCCTCGCCTCCCCCACCCTCTGTCCTGTCCTCTTCTCTGTCAGTGGTCCCCACCCCAGGATGGGATTGGTGTCCCTGCTCTCTTTGTCATTCTTGTAGCTTCCATTGGAAGACTGCAAGGTCTCCTCCTGGGAACACAGACCTGCCCCCATTCTGGCCCTTCCTCTACTGCAGGTCACTTAGGGTTAGCAACACCCTCTGAGAACACCATGTTCAACTGACACTTCTTCTCGGTGCAGTGACAACAGAGAGTGCAGCTGTGAGAAAAGTTGGAGCAGGGTAACGACTGTGTAGAACAGGAATTGCTGGTCTGAAGATTTTAGAAATCATGCTTGGCTTTCAGGGGTTAAGTCTTCCTTGGTTCTGTATTCCTCTTACCCCAGAGTTCCTACACTTTTGGCCTGGTTTTGGTTTTCCTGATTCTGCCTGGTTCCTGATTTGAACTTCTTTCTCTCCCATCCTAGAAGCCTCTCTATTGCCTCCTACCTGGGCACGATTTCTCTTATTCTGCACCTTGAGTTTCACTCATGGTTTCCAGTCATCCTCCAGGTTAGGCTCAGCCAGATGCAATTCTCTCTCTGCCCAGGGTTTACAGGCTACCTACAAGGTCAGCTCAGTTCTTCATAAGAAAGTGGAGGTCGTAGAAATTTCAATCTCCTCCATGCCTTCTCAAATAACCCTAGATTTCAGGGAGCTTGAATGGCTAGGGACTTGAGGAAGCAGAATTTGACAGTGAAATCTGGTCAATGACTTTTCTGTTCAGGTCAGTGTCCAGTCTCTCAATCCCTGGGGGTTAAGCTTTCTGGTTTAGTCTTCATCATGAAGGCTGCAGCATGATCGATACGTGTGTGTGTGTATGTGTGTGTGTGTGTGAGAGAGAGAGAGACAGTGAGAGAGAGAGAGAGAGAGAGAGAGAGAGAGAGAAAGAGAGAGAGAGAGAGAGAAAACGATACGTATCAGTTGGATGTTTTCCAACCCACTTTTCCCTATAACTTCTGTATCACTATGTTTCAGAAGACTAGGTGTTTATTTTGATGTGTACAATCTCTGCAGATCCCTGATATGAACTGTGTGGTTCTCTTGTAGATTGGCGGACGGAACAGTTCCAGGCCTGTGAGTGACTACGTGTTCTTTCTGGGTGCTCCTTCTGCTGCCCCTTTGGCTTCTGGCTGCTTCTTCCATTCTCTGTGATTATCCAGGTGCTGGCACCATGAATGGTGGTGGGCTGGGTGGTGGAGTTGACTGTCACAAAGCTGGGCCTGATCCTCAAGCAGACTGTGACATATTTAACCATCAAATCAGTCTCCTGGTTTCTTCTTCTGCTTGGAGAGCATGGACTTGAGTCACAAGACTCTCATCTCAGGGGGTTTACCCCTCCCCCATGCAGCTAAGCTGGGGGGCCGAGGGGTATGCACACCCTTGTTATGGGGCAGGGGAGGGCCTTGTGTGATTGGTATCTCTCTCTGCAGGGTCTGTCACTCTGAATACAAGCTCTGCCCATTCCAACCTGGCCATCTCTGAGGACAAGAAGAGTGTGACCTGGAAGGACACCTGTGGTGATTCAACTGGCAGCTTCAGTGTGTTGGGTCTTGAGGGCATCACGTCAGGGCGACATTACTGGGAGACAGAGGTCAGGCATGGAGACAACAGCCAGTGGGCTCTGGGGGTCTGTAGGGAAGATGTGAAAAGTACAGACTGGTGGAAAGAGTGTCCAGAAAAGGGGTTCTGGGTTATGGGGCGGTTTGAGGAAGGATATTGGGCCTGTACTAATCCTGATACTCAGCTACCCCTTAGGCAGGTTCCCCATAGAGTGGGAGTTTTCCTGGACTACAGCGAAGGGGATGTTTCCTTCTATAACATGACTGATGGGTCCCATATTTTCTCCTTCCCTCCGGCTTCCTTCTCTGGGATGCTCTTCCCATACTTCATGTTTAAGTCAGGGGATGTGTCCCTGACCATCTGCTCTGTGGTTGGTGGGCCCGAGGGGCTCCCTGAGCCCCATAACATTTCTTCTTCTTTGGAGGAGCCAGAGAGCTCCCCAGGGGAGGGGTTTGGCTCAGGCTCAGGTGTTGGTGCTCCCCCAGGGGTGGAATCCCCATTACTCCCCTGCAGCCCTGAGGCTGTGTCCCTCTAGGGCCCCATCACTGTCCCTGACCCCTCACTATGTGGCTCTTCCAGGAGCTGCGAAACCTCTGAGCTGAGACCTGGATGGCCCTGGGAGCCTTGTCCTCCTATTCTGAGTTGAGTGCAGAGTCCCAGGGTGTGTGGTTATGAAAATAGTCAGTTCATGCCTTGTGTTCAGATTGCAGAAGATAAAAGTTGACTGTTGCAGGAATTGGTCTGTGGTAGGCTGAATTTAACCATGAGAAGTCATTTTTCTTTTGATATTAAAAAATATTTCAGCTTTGAGCTGTGGCAGTATCATAGCCAATGAGGTTTATCCGAGGTGCGATTATTGCTAATTGAAAACTTTTCCCAATATCCCACAATGACAACTTGCAATATAGTCGGCATTGGCAATTTTTGGTGGTTCCTACAGGGACTGAATTAAAATAAAATGAGAGAGAAAAAAATATTTCATGGGGTTTTTATACTGTTTGGGCATGAAAGAGTCTGAGGGCTGAATTACTCTGCAGAACAAAGGAGAATTTACTTTATCCGACTGCGGAGGGGCCCAGCGGTGGGGGGTGGTCGAGTTTGGACTACCTGACCAGATGAGTTGGCCATCTAAAATATCCAGGGAAATGCGTGACTGATGGATGTGTATGAGAAGGGGAATCTAAATCTAATATTGTATTTTATTCACTTCTTATTCTGGGATGGATGAAACACACCTATTTTTTCAAACCTCAGTAAATTTCTGTTGTCTGTGAAAAAGTTGTGCTGTGGTAATTCAGGGAGTTAAGGATAAAGGCCTGGATTCTCCTTTTGTGTCAACGCCACAACTGTGGAAAGAAGAGACTTGCTCGCAGAATCAGCAGTAAGTACCAGAGTAAGACATAAATGAAGAAGAGAATTTTTAGATACAGGGTGAATGGGGAAGGCTTTGACCATAAGCATGTTTCCAGTTAGTAAATGTATTGGCTGTTAGCATTTCCAAGTCCAATGGTAAGGGTTAACGCTGTTGATGTAAAGGAAAAAGAAAATGAAAGACTGAGGCAAACTTAATATAAGTAGAGAGTTTGCTGGGCCATATTTGAGGACTGCAGCCTGGGAGCATAGATTCAAGTTGCCCTGAATATACGCTCAGATTAGCAACAGTTACAAGTGGGGTTTTGTGGGTTTTTTTTTTTTTTTTTTTTTTTGAGACAGAATACAGTGCCGTCATAGCTCAGTGCAACCTCAAACTCCTGGGATCAAATGATCCTAATGCCTCGGCCTCCCGAGCAGCTAGGACTACAGGCATGTGCCACCATGCCTGGCTAGTTTTTCTATTTTTTGTACAGATGGGGGTCTTGCTCTTGGTCAGGCCAGTCTGACCTCACGTGATCCTCCTTACCTCAAGTGATCCTCCTTACCTCAAGTGATCCTTGGCCTAGGCTTCCCAGAGTGCTAGGATTACTGAGCAGGTTTTAAAAGGTAAAGGAAAAGGAAAAGGAGAGGCAAGTGGTTTACCAAGAATTTGCATTAAAATAACATAAGCTGTTGATTGGCTATACATTGTTCTTTGTATCGCAAATTTCAGGAACAAGAAGATGATGGGTGAGGCAGCTAGTTGGGAACAAAATGCCTTTAAATGATTGTCCCTGTGGGAATGGGTGGTAGTGGGCAAGGTATGAGTGGTGACTGAAGTCCCATACTCATGTCTCTGTGGACTTGATACATTTTGCATACCCCACACAGCTCACACTGCTCTGAGCTATTTTTCTTTTCTCAATGGAAGACCACAGCAAACGAAAAGAAGTAGAATTATTGAGGACTCATACCCTTCAGGAATGAAGGTGTGTTCACTCTCCCAGGTACAGAACTCTGACCAGCTGTGGTTCTGGCTGAGGGTGAGAAGACATGGAATGGGAAGAGCAAGAAGGAAGTCATAGATATCAATTCTGGCCTTGTCACCAATTATCAATACAAACACAGACTGTAATGGTTTTGCATATTTTTTCTTTGCTTCTCATGAGTATGTGCTTATTTTCATATATTACAAATTTTCTTTGTCCCTCTTTTTTTACACTTATGATTTGATGCATACAAATTGTTGGAAGTTATGTTTATAATACAGTCTTTTAGGTAACAGTATAGTCAATGAGACTGTGACTAAATTTGAAGAGTAAACAATACAGCTCTATCTTGAGCTCCATAATGACTGGGACTGTCTGTCTCCATATTTTGGGGAAAGGGTGAGAAATTCATTTGTAAAGTGACTTTGTCTTGATAGGTGAAAATATAGAGTTGTTTTGTTGTATTTAAAATGGTGTGTAATAAGTGTGTAGTATAGAAACCGTGTAGCCAAAGGTCTGAACAGTGCTCATTATGATTGCCAAAACCCAAACTCTGAAAAATAATTTAAAACGGCTTTATTATGAGCTGAATATGTGTGACCCAGCCCAGGGTGTCACACCCAGAAAGTCTTGGGTAAGTGGTCCCGGGGTCGTTGGGTTGCAGTTTGGGTTTATACATTTTAGGGAAACAGAAATTTCAGGTAAAATCATAAATCAATACATGTACATTGGTTTGGCTCAAAAAGGTGAGAGGTCTCAAGGGAGGGGTTCAAAGATTCTTTGATTTGTAATTGCTTAAAGAAATAATGCATTGTCTAAAGGCTTTCAGTGTTTTAGGATAAAGAAGTCTGTTAATCACAGACAAGCCACAATATAGCAACTCAAGTACTCTGTTAAGCAAACTGATGGGCTGCAGGTGGGATTTAACCTTTGCCTTGGATGGCCTTAGGTCCTGTTAGTAATTTCCTATCTTATTGTCACAAAGAGTCTGTTTTGACAGTTTTATGATCTCTATTTTAACATTAATGCTGGTCAATTGTTGTATCTAAACTCCAAAAGGGAGGGGGTATAATGAGGTTGACCTTTCTTCCCTTCACGGCTGGGAACTCTGTTTTAAGGTTTTTCTGGGTCACATTGGCCAACAGGAGGATCTGTTCAGTTGGCAGGGGCTTAGGATTTTATTTTAGTTTGCTTTTTTAAATTGCATTTCTGTTCCAAGTCCACCCCATGTTTGTCCTGCTTCGTGATGATGGAGCTGTACCCTGTAAACATTTCTTCTTTGCCATCTGGTACAATGTTAGACTTTGTCAGTAAATTGCTCTGGAGGGAACACTGCAAGACACAGGAAAGGAAATGGCTTCTCTCTAGTTCTGGTACTTGTCTTTTTGATGTGACTTCCAGTGGTGTGCAAAAGGCCAGTTGTGCTCATCTTTTGGTGACATAATAAAAAAATATATGTATTTGGTCTCTGCCCTTCGTTCCTGGTATTTGATTTTTCTTCCTGCTTCCTAAAATAGCTCCTAAAACCCTTGGAATTTCCTGACAGAGGTGAAAGGAGTGCTTTTTGTTATCTATAACAAGCTCCTTTTGACCATATCTGAGTTTAGTTTAATGAGGTGACTTTTGTTTTTGTTTTAGTTTTTTTGAGATTGGGGCTTGCTATGCTGCCCAGGCTGGTAATTCCTGGGCTCAAGTAATCCTCCTACCTTAGTCTCGTCCTGCATAGCTGGGATGACAGGCTTGCACCACAGTACCTGGCTTAATGAGGTGACTATTGGCAAACCCCTAGACAACCTCGGGATGGAGGCAGGTTATCTAATCTTGTGATTAGAGGGTTGGAACTTTAAGCCCCACTTCCTACCTCAGGGGAGGGGATGGGGCTGGAGGTTGATTTAATCAATCACCAATGGGCAATGATTTACTCAATCATGCCTAATGATGAAACCTCTATAAAAATCCTGAAGTGGCTTCAGAGAGCTTCTGGGTTAGTGAACAAGAGTGTATCCATGTGTTAGGAGGTTGGCATACCCCAAACTCCAAGGGGACAGATGCTTCCATGCTTGGGCCCCTTCTTGATCTCACCTTATGTACATTTTTATCTGGATATTCATTTGTATTCTTCACAATATCTTTTGTTATAAACTGGTTAGTAAACAAAGTGTTTCCCTGGGTTCTATGAGCCATTCTTGGGAACTTCTGATTTATATCTGGTCTGTCAAAAGTATAAGTAACCTGAGGTCCCACCTATGACTGGCATCTGCAGTGAGGGGTGGGAGACCTGTAGGCCTGAGGCCTTAACCTGTGAGGTCTGTGCTAACTCCTTAATTGAATTAAATTAAAGGACACCCAGTTGGTGTCTGAAGAAAACTGGAGAATTATTTGATGTGGATAATCCCATACATTTTGTATCCCAAGTGTTCTGGGGGGTGTTGTGAGAGTAAAGAAAAGATACCCCATTTAGTTGGGAGTATTACAGGTCCCTTTCTACTGTCCAGTGGGCCACAGCTCCTCCTTCTCCAATGAGCTTGAAATCTCAATCTTGTTGGGGGCCTCTCCCAGAGTTCTTCCTTCCTCGGCTACTGTTGGGGCACAGAAAATGATTTCTCAAAATATGGCACTTTGATATGCTGAGTGCTTTTGAGAATCAGAAATCAGCCTCAGAATCAAGGATCCTCTAACCTTGTCTCAGTCTTCCACCCCTCCCCATAAACGCACAGGGAGAGACTCTATCTGGAATTTCCTTATGTGACCAAGAAAGCTTCTTCCCCAAAGAAACACAATTGCCTTTTTCCCTCCCCTGAAATCTTGTTATCTATCTGTAGAAAATAAGATTGAGGAATGCAACCTGGATGGACTTTTCACGAGATAATGTCTGTCTCTCAAGCCCATTCAAATTCCAAAGAGAATCATTTACAAGTTAATTTCTATCTCCTGGGTACATTCATACTCCTTAATAATCATTTACTGTCCCTAAAAAGAATTGTCTACGTTCTCCATCTCCACCTCCCCTATGAAAAAGGGTATATAAGCTTCTGCACCCCATTGGGTTATGGGGTGATCACCCTCCCACGCAGGTTAATGAAATCTGGTATGCCCTTTGTACTGTTACTCTGTTTTTTGTCAGTTGATCTTTCAGGGAACATTCAAGACTATTCAGAGGACAAAGGGGGAGTTTTCCCTTGGCCCCTACACTACTCTGCCTCAGCCCTAGAGGTAGTGTCTGCTCCCCATAGCTGCCATTTCTGTATTTTTCAG